TAACAAGGAGAAGCAGTTGCATGTACCAGCAGGAAGACGACTGGCAGGGCGTAAGGGGAGAAAGTCAAAAGAAAAGGAAAAAACAGACAGTGAAGGAGAAGAGGCAGGCGACGGAGTCAGCCTCGTTGAAGATTTGTGTGGGGAGGAGACAGAAGAAACACAACAAAAGACACCAGAAGTAAGACGACGCAGACGCAGGAAACAAGACCTAGGCCCAGGTTCTATTCTCATGTGGGACGAAATGGAATTGATCGAAACAGGAGGAGGGGAAGAGGTAGAAGAAGAACTTACTTCTAGTGGTAGCGAAGAGGATGATGTGCCGCCAGCGAAGAGGACAAGGCAAGAGGAGTCAACGGAGGAGGAGGAAGAGGCCTCTCCCCCCCTAACTCCTCCCTTTGTTGCTGGAGACTATGGTAGTGCTTCTGTAGCAACAGAAGAGATGGCGCCAACAGAAGCAGCAGCGCCAACAGCAGCAACAGAAGAAGAAGATACAGCAGAACAACTGCGACGGCAGATATTGGAGTATGTTGGTCAAATTTTAGCAGACGATGACGGGATGACAGGAGGGGATGAAGAATTAGAGTACGCTGTATGGGAGAATTTACTAACAACCATGCAGGATACGCCGCCCATACAAGAACGAGAGAAAGAAACGGGAGACGAGAAGGAGAGGAAAAGAAGGAAACGAAAAAGTAAAGAAGAAAAGGGAGGGAATGGGAGGAAAGTGCGCCAAAAAGATGCGCTTGAAGGCGTTCGGTCGCCTGCCCACAGCCCGCTTTGGTCTGATGATGGAGCAGAAGTAGAAACAAAAGCAGGAGAAGAAAAGGAGAAGGCAGAACAAGATACACCCGTACAAAAACGAAAGAAAGAAAGGGGAAACGAGAAGGAGACAAAAAGAAGGAAACGAAAAAGGGAAGAAGAAAGAGGAGGGAAGCGGAGGCAAGTGCGCCAAAAAGATGCGTTTGACGGCGTTGGGTCGCCTGGCCTCAGCCCGCTTTGGTCTGATGATGGAGCAGAAGTAGGAAGGAAAGCAGGAGAAGAAGAGGAGAAGGCAGAGGAACATATACCCGTACAAGGACGAGGGAAAAAAACGGGAAACAAGAAGGAGACAAAAAGAAGGAAACAAAAAAGGCAAGAAAAAGGAGGAGGGCATGGGAGGCAAGTGCGCCAAGAAGATTCCTTTGGAAGCAGTGAGTCGCCTGACCTTAGCCCACTTTGGTCTGATGATGCATCAGAAGTAGGACTATATGCAGGAGAAGAAGAGGAAGTCTCAGAAGAAGATACATCCTTTGCAGATTCTGGTGACGAGGGTCCTTCTACTGGTCCTAGTTTTGCACTGCTTAAGAGACTGCAGCAGCGGGGAGGGAGAAGAACAGAAAGAGAGTTCATAAGTAGGGCAGTAGGAAGTTTTAAATTCGATCCTCTTCAGCCATCTAAAGGACTAGTCCTAGTAAACCAGCCTGGACGAGGCTGGACGAGACAAGAGGCGTTACCGGAGGTGGACGAAGAGCCTTTTTCCCCCTTATCTCCCCTCTATGCTGCTGGGGATCATGCTGTTGCTGATGTAACAACAGAAGAGTCGTCAACAACAGAAACAGCGTCTCCTACAGCAACAACGGAAGAAGAAGATGCAGTAGAAGAACTGGAGCAGCATATGGTGCTATACGTCGCGGATTTGTTAGCAGAAGATGAGGGGAGTATAGCAACAGAAGAATTAGATTACGCTGGGTGGCTGGAATTAATAACAGGCATGGACGATATGCAGTCCATAGGAGAACGAGAGGAAGAGGCGGGAAACGAGGAGACAAAAAGAAGGAAACGAAGAAGGAAAGAAGAAAGAGGAGGGAAGGAGAGGCAAGTACGCCAAATAGATTCGACTGAAAACGATTGGCTGCCTTTCCTCAGCCCGTTTTTGTCCGATGATGAATCAGAAGTAGGAACAAGAGCAGGAGAAGAAAAGGAAAAGTCCGAAGAAGATACACCTGTTACAGATTCTGGTGACGAGGGTCCTTCTACTGGTCTTAGTGCTACACAGCGTAAGAGACGGCAGCGGCGGAGAAGGAGGAGAAGAAGAGAAGGCAGTTTCTTAGCTAGTGTAGCAGCAGCATTCCCGTTCGATCCTCGTTATCAACCTCAAGGAACAGTCCTAGTAAATCCCATTGGTTGCCCGTCTGATGAAGAGGAAGAACAACAACAGCAACAAGAAAAAGAAGAACAACAACTGCAAGAAGAAGAAGAAGAAAGAGAAGTAGAAGAAGATATGGAAGAACGAACAAGAAGACGTACATCGAGACAACTGGAATACACCGTTCATGTACCACATACCGACGCCTCATACGTCGTTGGCGGCAAAGAAATCACAGACGAAAGTGTAAGGATTTATAATTCGTTCTGTTATTTTATGGATTTTCTTGCTGGTTTTGTCATTATAGATAGGAATAAGGAAATGATGTAGTAACGGATGAGTAGTTGCATTACTACCAGGGGAAAAGGGAAAGGAACTGGGAAAGGAACTGTCGGTGGATTGATGACTAGTTTAATTACTATAAACAGAAAAGAAAAGAGAAGCGTATATAAACAGACGTGAAAAAGCAGAGAGTTGGGATCCGGTTAGGGCACAAACAATAAACAAACGAACAAACAAATGAACAAATAAATGCATAAACAAACACATAGAAAAATAGACATACAAACAAACCAACCAACACACAAACACAACAAAGCACGAATACGCACACACAGCATGCCAAAACAAACAAACAAAGAAGCAGACAAACAAATAAATAGACAAACGAACAAGTAGACGAACAAATAAATAAACAAATAAGCAAACAAGGAAAACGTATATGCATAAACAGTGTTTGGCGTTGTATTGGATTGGGTGAGAGGTCTGAGCCACAGATTTATCTACAAATGCTGCAGGGCATGTGGACATCTTTAACCTGGTCGCATTCCTCTTGTTCTTGCTATAGTTAGTGTTATTACACTTCGTCTCTTCGTTCTTCTTGTTCTTGCTCTTGTTCCTGCTCCAGTTCCAGTTCTTCTTCCGGTTCTTGTTTTCGTTGTTCATTTTATCCTTCGTTTTCTCTGTATTGTTCGTGTTCCTGTTCTCGTTCGTGTCTCCGTTCCTTTTGTTATTCTTGTTCTTATTGTTTTCCTCTTTGCTGCGGTTTTTCGTGTTCTTCTTGCTTTTCTTCATCTTGATCGAGTTCTCGTTCTACCTTTTATTCTTGTTCTGTATAGCACCATATGTATCCATTGTGTTATGGGTTGCGGCGTCTGTACAGCTAGTTGGTTTGCTGTGCTTCGTCTGTTGCTATTCTCTGTCAGGGGCAGCCGGCGTTACTAATAGTCTCTGTGCCTCTTCCTTCTCCAGAAGAGCAACGACAGCTGCAGCAGCAACAGCTGCAGCAACCGCANATGTAAACCACCACCCCTTCTACAGACGTCCTCTTGTAGCCAGTGATGCCGTTCTTTCCAGGGACTTACAGTGGAGGGGTTGGTCAACATCTCGACGGACCTTAAGCGAAACGGATGCTCTCATAAGGATTAAAGATATCTTGAAGAAGCCAATATTAGACTCAGGAGACCTCGATCGTCTATCGGAGTGTCTCGAGCAGCTAGTTGGGCAAACACTGCAACGGAAAAAGGAGGTCATCGATGAGCGAAGCCCTGATTATGTTGTAGAGAGGCTCGCCATGGCTGTGGTGCTTACAGATGCAATGTTTGTTGCAGCAGAGGTATTAGGAGAGGATGCCAAGAGAGACGAATGGTGGGGAGCAATATTAGACACCCTTCCGGTGTATACACGCCCCTCTCGGTCTTCCGTTTCCCGCCGCACAGCAGAGCAAAGTGTGCTGTTGGCAAGGCTGCTGCAGAATGCACTTGAATTCTATAAAGGGGGGCTCAGACCCCCTTCAGGTTATCTCGTTCCTGTTAAGCAAATTATCTTCTCTACACCGGCGGTGACGGCGTTGCAGAGAGGTCCATGGGCGCGTTTCCGGGATGATGACGTAGAGTGGCAGCAGCAGCAGCAGCAGCTGCTGCACTTGCAGGATCGGCTGCAGGAATCGGAACCAACGCAACACGAACAGCAGCCGGAAGAGTAGCAACAACAGCAAACGCGGCAGGAGGAGCAGCAGCAACAGCAACTGCAGCATGAAGACCAGCAGAAGCAGCAACAGCAGCATGAAGACCAGCAGCTACAGGACCAGCAGCAGGCGGAGCAGCAGCAACAGCTGTTGCAGTAGGGAGCGCAGCAGCAGCAACAGCAGCAGGAAGCGCACCAGCAGTAGCAGCCGAATAAGCAAAGATGCCGGTAGTGGCGGCAGCCTGAACAGCAGCAACAGCAAAAACAGCAGCAACAGCAGGGCAGGCGACCCTTGCTGCACGCGCAAGACATATACAGTCATCTCGTTCTGCACCAAATTGGCGACGGGAATAAAGAAAAGATAGTTATAAAGTGACGATGAGGGCATCCTTATACTCCCTTTTTCTCTGTCTCATTTTTTGCCTCAGAAGTTAAACCATTGAACAGAGACGGCAGGTCAGCAGACACCCGGAGAGGGGGCTACGGCTGAGGCAATCCATAGACAAGTAAACACCAAGGGAGGTTTAAGCAGGGATCACTAACAGGATATACAGCCTCTTTATGGGTACAGTTGTATTTTTCTGTACCAATCCTAGATTAGATTGTATACAGTTTAATTGTCACTTGCGATATAATATTATTATTTTTAGTATTTATAAAGGTTTGTTGATGCTGTGCAATGTAGCATATGGCTAATGTATTTTGCCCTATAAACAG